TTTTTTTCTTAAGCTGAAATCAGTCCTTAAACAATTGCGCGAAAACGGAGTGGGCATCGTTATTGTGTCGAATTTCGACAGCCGTTTGAAGAAGGTCCTCCAAGACATGGGTCTTTACGAACTGTTCGATATGATAATAGCCAGTGGAGAAGTTGGAGTGGAAAAACCAAATCCAGACATCTTCGAGATGGTCCTGAAACGCTACCACCTCTCCGACGCGTCGAAGATGCTACATATTGGGGATAATGTCCAGAAGGACTACCGTGCGGCTAGGCATTTCGGTGCCAGCGCCCTTCTTTTCGATCCCCTTTCGCTGAACGCTGAAGTAGCAAGCACTGACAAAATAACGTCTTTCACAGAGTTAAGGGTCGAGTAGGGCAACAACGACTTTTCATTCGACGATATTCTAATATTCTGGCCTTTCTCTTAGCCAATAACGAGCTTTCTTTGCGCGCATTTTATGCGTCTTGTACAAAGTGTACAAATATTAACTTAACTGTAATAATTTACTCAACTACGTGTACGACAATCACTTTTTAGATTGTCCCTATCAATGGTGTTCATATCAGCCATGTACAAAATGTATTGTTCATTGTTCCTCTTAGGATTTCTTCCAAGCTGGCTTCGAATATTGTACTCATTGTATTTATTTTGCTATGTACATGACGATTTTGGGTTGTTTATGGTTTTCAAGTCGTCAGTGTCATATTTACCGGTGTAATAAAAGCAATCGCATAGTTGTACTACTGAACAACTGACCTAACGCTTCCCTATTGCTGGGGAGATGTATTACTCTTGCGTTGATTAGACTTCCATGAATAGATGACAAAGGAACAGCTTGATGGTAGCTGAAATGAAATACTGAGTATAAAAGGGTCTCTGACTCGCTAAAAAAGTTTTTTGGTAAAAAAATGCTAATTTTCATCGTTAAAATAACGATTATTCGAGTCCGCATGGTGCTTCATCTTCAAAAAAACCCAAACCTATTGCGAAATGAGAGAATTCTATGATCGTGGATTCTCCTAACTTTCCAAAGAACAAGATAACCTTTTTATTACGCATAATTATTGCATGAGCGGGCATTCCTACTACCCACTAATACAAGCAACCGTTCCAACCGTTCATGGCAATATTGGTGTTGGCTGATTTCTATTTGCTCTGAGATTTAAATAAGCATTTACCTCAATCTCGCTACGCTGTTTGTCTTCATTAAAATCCGTTGAAAGGTTATGAAGATGTCACAAGATTTGTCGCCATACTTTATGA